GTTGTCATCACCATTTTTAGGCTGAGTCTAAGCACATGTCTGGCTGCTGCTCAGCAGTCATCCCACAACAAACACAGTGTTTTGAGTCCGAGCCTTGGGGGGTGCCAGGCAGTTTCCTGCCATTGTGAGGAGTTTGAAAAGTCCAGGCATTTCGGTCACTTGTTTTTCGTTCCGCGACCACATACTTGCATGTGAGGTGCTTGTTTTGGGATGTGAGTGAAAGACAATAGTGCGGAATATTTAACTGAAGCCTTGATGGTGTTTGTTTTGCAGAGGACTGACAAAGAAAGGCTCTGCATCATAAATTATGGTGTGTCTCTTTGATTCTCTGAGGTGTGTTTGACCATTTTTGGTAACGATGAAGTAATCCGTATCACGTTCTCTTAATAGCTGCAGACAGGAAAAGGTTGTTGCATCAGACAGGAGAAAACTTGTGTTATTAATGTCTATTAAATAGCATAAAGGGGATTTAGCAAGAAAACAGAAAAAAGGGTTTGTTTACTGAGAAATAACTCACAAACTTCCTTTTTGAGTTCAACAAAACAAAGATTCGTTTAAACAATTCCTGTCACCGACTCACAGCAAGGCAGATCAAGGAGCTTACAATGCTGGGAAAAACTGTTTTCCGCCTCACAAATTTAGTGTGTTTTTGCTTTGTTTTTATCACCATTAAATGTTTTCAATCGCCAAACAAACAAATTCCAATATCAGACAAACAATTGTGATTAACCACAGTTTTTACCTGCCACATCCAGCCTGATTACTACCAGGATCTAAAGCACTGCAGGTCTCACTGGGTTGATGTCAGAGGTCATTATTAAGCCTTAAAATTGGATGGAAGAGCAAAAATTGCATCATGGGAGAATTTCAATACTTGCTTTTCCACTATGGGAAATTTCTGGGAGGGGCGAAGGTGACAGGGAAAATACAATGGCTCTGCTACTCTCACTGCCTGAGACTGAGATCAATGGACTCAGTGGTCTCCTTTATAAAGCAGCTGAAAACTCGCCTGTTCAAGCTGGCTTTGGTGTGACCTTGTCACCACCCTCTCCTTATTCTGCTCTTGTTCCGCCTTTCCCAGGATCCTTCTGTCCTATTCATTTTCTCTCTCCCTTTCCTTACATTTTTTAAATCACAATTTTCATTTTTTCTCATTTTGAACAAATTTGTAACTATTTTTTGAAATCTTTTTTACACTTTAAATTTTTTTTGTATTTGTGAAGCGCCTTGCGATTTTTTATCTTTCTTTCTTTCTTTCTTTCTTTCTTTCTTTCCTCTCAGCCATTGTGACTCCATGAAAAATCTGCCCTTTCAGGACTTTGCTATGACGTCATCATATTGTGACCGTTTCAGCTGTGCGTGATGTCACTGATCAGCGCCAAAAGGCGCTCACGTAGATTAATAAATAAGCTGTTTAAGTGTTATCCTGTCAAAGCATTCTTTAATTTATTCATTTCAGGGAACGGGGATGGCTATCTGCTGTGAAAAGTGGCAATGACCAGAAGAAGTGCTGTTTTTTACGGTGCTCTGAAGACAAAAAAGCTGCTAAAGTTACGACATTGTGGAGGGATTTTCGTTGAATGTTTCAGTGATTAGCTTAAAAACAATAAATTTTAAGCAGCATCAGAGCTGCTTATTTTCTTTTCCTTTTATTCTGCTTCACCAGCTACTTTTCCATCTATCCATGCATCCATTTTCATCCCCTTTTCCAGGGTTGGATCGCGGGGGCAGCAGCCTAAGCAGAGAGGCCCCGACTTCCCTCTCCACAGCCACTTGGGCCAGCTCTTCCAGGGGAATCCAAGGCGTTCCCTGGCTAGCTGGGAGACATAGTCCCTCCAGTGTGTCCTGGGTCTCCCTTTAGGTCTCCTCCCAGTTGGACATACTCGCAAAACCTCTCCAAGGAAGCATCCCAATCAGATGGCTGCGCTACCTCAACTGGCTCCTCTCTATGTGGAGGAGCAGCGGATCTACTCTGAGCCCCTCCCAGATGACTGAGCTTCTCACCTTATCTCTAAGGGAGAGCCCAGACACCCTGTGGAGAAAACAAATTTCAGCCGCTTGTATCCATGATATCATTCTTTCGGTCACTACCCAAAGCCTGTGACCATAGATGAGGGTAGGAACATAGATTGGCCAGTAAATCGAGAGCTCCGCCTTCCAGCTCTGCTCTCTCTTCACCATGATAGACCGATACAACGACCACATTACTGTAGATGCAGTATGGCTGCTTTTCCAATTTTACAAATACTGGATATCAGATCAGGTCAATGTTATGCTTCAGCAGGAGTTAAGGTCTATCTCTGAGTGGGCAGATGGTAATAAGCTAAAATCGAATGTATTGAAAACCAAGTGTATGTTTTTGGGCTCTAGGAATCTGGTAAGGAAAAACCAAAAGTTAGATATTTATTTAGGGGGACAACAAATTGAACAAGCAAGAGAGACCAAACTGCCGGGCATAACAATAGATCAAACAATGTCATGGACTAGACATATTGACAATATTGCAAAGAGAATGAGTATGAGCATTTCTGTAATTAGGCACAATGCTCAGTATATGTTGCTGGACATCGGAAAACTTGCTGTCCAGTCTCTGGCCTTGTGTCATCTGGATTACTGTTCGGTTGTTTGGTCCAGTGCTGCCAAGAAAGGTCTTGACAAACTTCAGAGAGCTCAGAACAGAGCTGCAAGGTTGGTTCTCAGTTGCCCCTGGATGTATGTCAGCTGGATGTATTTCAATCTGTCATGGATGAAGTAAATGACAGACTGGCCTGAAGCCTGGTTGTGTCCTTACGCAAAATCTGGGTTTTACACAAACCTTTTAGCTTGTTTACAAAGCTGTTACCAACCTGTGAGCGGTATGGTTTTAACACAAGGGATGCCTCCCATGTTACCTTTACTCTTTCATTGCCAAGAACTAATGCACTTAAAAGAACAGTCCGGATTATCCTGCCTCCTTAATTAATAATAATAAATGTTCATGGTACGTTTAAAGTGAATCTGAAGAAAACGGTAAAACAAGTTTAAATCAGATAACAGATACAGCTATTTCAATTAGATTTAAATAATGAACACCTTGTTGTTGTTATAATAATAATAATAATGACAATTATTGTTGATGTTATTATTGTTGTTATATATTAATTTATCAAATATTTATTTTATTTTCATTTTCTTAGTGAAATTTGATCCTAGTGGCTTTTTATGATATTTGTTTTATGAGGTTGGTTATATGTTTTTTTGTGCTTTTCTTACACTGTATATGCAAGGATGTGCTTTTAATTCTACACTGCATATGTTATGTGTTCTTGTTTTGTTTTGTTTTTTTATCAAGAGGACCCCAGGAAGAATAGTTTTCACTATTATGAAGACTAATGGGGATCCTTAAATAAACAATAAACAATATATGTCAACATCTGCCACAGTAATGGCTCCTTTCGGTGCGGCCCAGTGAAATGGAGACACAAACATATCGTGAAGGTCTGGTAAAATTACCCAGAAGGTCTAATACAGGGAATGGACCTAAAAAAACTTTTGTGGAAAGTGGAACTTTTAGAAAGTTGTGTGTTTCATCTCTGAGTTTCAAAAGACCATAATCATTGCAACAGTCAAACATGGTGGTGGTAGTGTGATAGTATGGGGTACATGTTTTTCCATCAGCACCTGGATAACTTGCTGTTACTGGATCCAAATCCATGGACAGTTTTCTCAGAAAACCCAGAAGAAGAAGGTCTGACCTTTAACCCAAGTTATTAAGTTTAGGGGGCAATTACCTCAGCCATTATTTGCCCCCCCCCCCCCAATACCTTCAATAATTTCATAAATGTACTTTGAGCATCTTGCTTTGATTGTGAAAGATGTTTGCTGATTTTACACTTTCTAGTGTGACAAATGGATCAAATGCATAAGCGTGGAAAAGGAAATGATCTCAGACTAATTAAAACTCAGAAACCCCTTCCTGCTGCTTTCATTAACAACTAATTCCATTAATTTTTTACCAACTGCCAGTTCATGTTTCTGTTAAGCAGACAGCTTGAATGACAGTTTTGTGAGGTGACTGAAAAGCGGAATTCGTGGACACGAAACAACAAAAGCAGCCACTGAACAGTGACGGCCTTCTGCTCCGGCTCCTTCCTCGTGTTCCCAGGAAAATCAAAAGCCAAAAGCCGCTCTTCTTTGGCAGAGCCGCTGCCCACCCAGACTGGACGCAACAACAACCCCCCCGTGCCCCCTTCACCCCCATCAGACCTGCAGAGGCAGTCGCCTCAGGCACTTCCAGCGTTTTGCAGAGACCTTCTAAGGCACTTTTGACCTGTTCTTATCAGCAGCTTAGCAGATCCTTCGACCTCTGACACACTTTTAGTGGGTTTGCAAAAAATTATGTTTGAACGAGTTCTGTTGAAGGCTTCAAATCTGGGGTTATTCCAGTTTTTTCTTTGATTGTGTTAAACATTTAGCTGTTTTTTTATTATTAAAAGTCTTGTCGTGTAGGCAGGAGAGAAATCAGGCGAAAGAAGACACTTAGAGGGGTTAAAATTAGCAGATTTGTTGGAGGAAAAACAGAATAACTAGATATACAACAGGTGTAATGATTAGCAAAATAAAATAAATATTAGAGAGAATCAGGAAGCAAGAGATGGAATAAAACTGGTGCGATAAAAAGAAAAATGAAATCACAACATAAAAATATAGAATCAGACAGCACAAAATCTAAGTCAAAGTAAATCTCTACAACTTTCTGTAAAACTTTATTAACCAGTTAGTAGACAGATCCATTTTGCTGCAATACATTGTTTTAAATTTCTATTTAAATCATAAACTGAAAAGTAATTAAAGCTGCTCAAAATCAACTAAAATAGTCAAGTTTCAACTCAATTTGAGATTCAAAAACTGGTTTTACGTAAATGTTTAGACAAGTATTTGTAAAATTAAAATTTTCTTCTGAACCTGATGCCTTCTGAGTAGATCAAATTACGCTTGACCCATTCATTCGTGAGTTGTAGTTCCTGTTCTTTTGTTCCTGATTTTCTTTTTAACTGACAAACAAAGATGTAGGAGGAGTTACCCGAGAGTCCATGGGAGGAGTTACTACAACCGTCTTCCACTCAAAGTACAAAAAGTGTCTGTAAAACTGGCACAAAGGAGAAGCACAGACCTGTGGGGTGATCAGGGCTCAGCCAAAGCTCCCAGTCCTGTTGGAGGAGGAACTAGAGACACGCTGAAGCATCTATTAAAGAGGAAAGAGAAAGGAAATGAATGGGTTTAAGAACAATGTGAAGAACAATCACATTGCTTCAGAGAGAGAAAGCCGAGGGATCTGCTCAAGATTCGGTTCTGCTGTTTGGAGGAAGCATGACGGCGTGTGGTCAGCACTTGGAGAGGTGGGAAGCATGTGACATCGTTGCTGCTGCCTTGGAGCTGAAACAAACAAAAACACAAGAGTGAGATCTTCTCCTCGTCTAAAGGACACCTCCCTGATGGAACCAGAACAAACCCCCAACTGGATTTAGGCTCTTCTGATAATAACAGAGCAGCGTGGACTGATTCATCTGGGTGAGTAAAAGTCAGCCTGTCTGTGGTGGGGTGCAGCCTGGTGAGGAGCAACTGTGCAGGGGGAGGGGAAGAAGCTCCAGCCTGGATTGTTTAAATGAGCTTTAACCCCCAAATAAGCACCGAGGTGTGGGAAGTAAATGACATCAGCCACGTGCAGCTGCCGCCCTCCGCTCGTGTGAGCAGATGTGTTGACGAGAATCATCATGGGCCTGCGTACGTTTGCGCTGGATTGCTCCGCTCTCTTCATGGCCAGCTGATTGTGCAGAAGGAGACTTTTATCGTTATTCTGTAGAGGACACCGCTGTCTCTTTGTCTCATGATGTCCACCCCCTCGCCAGTCAACTTCACAGCAAACTGCACCAAGCATGATGATTTCAAATACCCCCTGTACAGCACCGTCTTCAGCATCGTCTTCATCATCGGGCTCATCACCAACGTCGTGGCCATCTACATCTTCACCTGCTCGCTGAAGCTGAGGAACGAGACCACCACCTACATGATGAACCTGGTGGTGTCCGACCTGCTGTTTGTCTTCACGCTGCCGCTGAGGGTGTTCTACTTCATCAACGTGAACTGGCCTTTCGGCGCGCCGCTCTGCAAAATCTCCGTCTCGCTCTTCTACACCAACATGTACGGCAGCATACTCTTCCTCACGTGCATCAGCGTGGACCGCTTCCTGGCGATCGTGCACCCTTTTCGCTCAAGGATGCTCAGGACCAAGCGCAATGCCAGAATAGTGTGTGCGGCCGTGTGGGTGCTGGTGCTGTCGGGAAGCCTCCCTACTGGGTTCATGCTGAACAGCACCACCAGTAACAAAAAGGACAACAACACGTTCTGTTTCGAGAACTTTTCATCCAATCAGTGGAAATCCCACCTGTCTAAAGTGGTGATCTTCATCGAGACCGTTGGTTTCTTCATTCCTCTGCTGCTGAATCTTTTCTGCTCCATCAAGGTGTTGCAGACTCTGAGGCGGCCCAAAACCATCAGCCGTGGGGGGAAGGTAAACAAAAAAAAGATCCTGCGCATGATATTTGTGCACCTCTTCATTTTTTGCTTCTGCTTCATCCCGTACAACGTGAACTTGGTGTTTTACGCTCTGGTTCGCACCAAAACTCTAAAGGGCTGCTTTGCAGAGTCTGTGGTTCGGACCATCTACCCTATAGCCCTTTGCATCGCCGTGTCCAACTGCTGCTTCGATCCCATCATCTACTACTTCACCTCGGAGACCATCCAGAATTCCATCAAGAGGAAATCTCCATCCGACTGCTCTTACGACGTCAAGTTCTCAGAGGCTGTTCAGTCAGAAATCCCGTCCCACCTGCAGTTGAACTTCAGGACCCTGAAAGCGAAGGTCTTGCACCGCGAGTCTTCGGTGTGACACCCAAACGGTGCCACTTCCAAATCAACACAGAACAAAGAAGATGGACCTCTTGGAGCGCTTTGTGTTATTTTTGGTTTCACCTCAGGGGAAATATTCAAACGTTTGCAGGATTATCACACCTGTGGATCTGTGGAGACTACTTATTGACTCCTCTTAACTGTTACTGTGTTAAACACAATTCCTGAACTTGATCACTGGACAGTTATAAGATGCGTGTGCCTGCATCTGTGTGTGTGGTCAGCTGTCGTGCAAACCTTAGAGTATTATCTGTTAAATTAACATAAAGTTTGTTAAAATATTCACGTGGAAGGCTTCTTTTTTGAGTTGTACAATCCAAACGTGCCATCCTGTGATTCACGATTATAAATGTTCAGTTTTGTAATGGTGAATCACAGAATTAACCATTTTCTTTAGTCTTAAATGCACTGACAGAGTTCCTCACCATGCACTCACAGCATTGCTATAAATAAAAGCCATATGATGTCCAGCTTTTGTCATTTAAACACATTTTTGTTTTCAATGTTGGATATTAAATTATTATACATTTGAACTCAGATGAATTTAAAAAACATTGAATTTTGGTTTATTTCTCAGATTTCTTTGAGCATTTTCTTTTTGCAAACATCTGGAAGAAGCTGCTACTTAGCATGTTTTTATGATAATCACGATGATAATGCTAATGGGTTAGGTCGTTAAAGTACTTTTCAGTGAAGCCATTATTCGTAAACACGCGCCAACCACAACCTGGGGTGAGCTATGCTCAATTCGTTCTCTGATGTCTCTGCAACACGAGTCGAGCAGGAAGGGAAAAAGTTTTAGCTTCCTGTTTGGTTATCTAGCTAAGGATAGAAAACCAATGTCAACATGCTCATGGGCTTGACGTGTTTTTCTGGATTTTCTATGAGAAAAACCAAAACAAACATCAAAAAGAACAAAACTGGACTCAAAAGTGACTAACTGGGAATAATGAATCAATTAGCAAATGCAAAAACAAAGAAAAGAGAGTTTGACATTGAATCCTCCTGGAATCTTGTATTTCCTTTTCTGAGATGAGGACACGGTGTCTGTGATTTCATCAGGTGAGGCTGCAACACTTGGCCTGACTAGTTTGATCTGCAGAGGTGTGACCAGGTCACTGCTTTGCAAGTCACAAGTAAGTCACAAGTCTTTCCAGTCAAGTCTCGAGTCAAGTCCAAATCAAATACAACCAAGTCCAAGTCAAGTCTAAAGTCAATGATATGGAAGTCTAAGTCAACTCCAAGTCCTTAACTTTGAATTTTCCAGTCATAATCAAGTCATCTGTCCAACTTCAATTTAATGACAATGATCATAAATAAATTCCAGAATAAAAGCTTCTTAAAGCTTCATTTATTTGCTCAAACAAGCAGGAAGTGCAACTGAAACCGATTATAAACAAAGTGCTGCTGCATTTAGCAGTAAATGAAACCCAGAACCAAGAAAGATTTATGATTTTTGTCCATGTCGAGCCACTTTTGTGCTGAAATATCAAATATGCATAAGTCATCATCAAGTCAACAGATGCAAGTCGATTCAAGTCACAAGTCATTGGCGTTCAAATCCGAGTCAAGTTTTAAGTCTTTCTAGATTTTATCAAGTCAAGTCAGAACTCATTAACCCTCTCAGGCTCAAAATAAGTCCTTCAGGGTACTTCTGAGTTAAAAATGCTCATGAAATACGTGTGTGGAGTAACCAGGCAGGTAGGTTTTAACTGTTGCACATCTGCAACGCCTGCCTCCAGAGGGTTAAACTAATGACTCACAAGTCATGTGACTCCAGTCCACACCTCTGTCGATCTGTACAACCATTGAATTACTTAGGACGACTCAACCAATAATTAAATGATCAATGAAAACACTATGTCCTATGTTTATACACATTTTCATTGGAACATGTCACAAATGGGGATTTTTTTTTCATCGTTTTGTGAGCTCAAAGTGAAATTCTGTCATAGACTGACTGTTAAAAGCGAACACCCTCATGAGTAGCAAGTTCAGACAAATTACTTTTCTTTGTAACTGCAGGTCGTGTTGTATCATCTCAAACCTTTCTGGATCAGATTCATCACAACAAAACAAACAGTGCATTAAATCTGTCACCTGGTGACTGTAGGATCACTATTTCTGCTTTTTCTCTTTAATGCAGAGCCCTTGTTTTTGTTTAAATTCACAGTAAGCCAATAATAATGCAGAATTTATTAAACAGCGATGTAATGAGTGGTTTTACCTGAGGTTATTTAGTCTGATTGCATCTTATTATTGTTTATTGTTTAAGCTTGACTTAAACTTTGATAAAAATTTCAAGTTATCATAAGCAGCACATGCAAAGATTTTCCCAAAAGTGAGTTTCTGGAAAAAAAAAAAAGAGCTTCTTTTAAAAGTACATTTATATTAGTGGCAAAAGAACAAAGAGTGGAGATTATGGAAAGCTAAAGTGGGATAAAACTCCAAACCCTAAAAGTACACAACTGTTTCCTTTAAAGGACAAAAAATGTGTTTTGTGTTTGTCATGCTCAGGTGATGGTATCAGTGAGGGATCAACACATGAAAGGGAATAACAGAACGCACATGGTGCTCAAACTTTGTTAACGTAGCCTGAAGGGCCGGTCGCCGGTGCTTTTACAGACCTGGGCTGTTGTGAAAACCAATTTAAACTAAAGGAAGCCTGAACCCAGACATCAGCAACTCTCAAAAGGTCAGACAGCTGAATTCTGGGTTCAAATGATCCAATCTGTCCACCAGGTGTTCATCTATTGTCTCCATGAGGACAGGAACAGGAAGAGATGCAGGAAGTCACACCTTCAATGCACTTGAGATAACCACAGTGTTATTATAAACGACTTTTATTACTTTAGTATTACAAATGAACTAAAATAAACCAAAATGTTGGTGTTTGTCTCTTTAAGATGATTGCTGCAGACATGAAGTCGCTGCATTTTTCTCTCTGTTGGGGACAGTTATCTAATCAGCTTGACCTTTTTGTCCCTGCAGGATGAGAAAAAACAGGCGCATCCCAGTTTTGTAATTATTTACATTCTGTTCTGCGGTGCTCCGATAAAAACTGAGGAATTTGGTTTTTGCTTTTTAAAATTTCATTCAAAACATTCTGACTGCATTTTTGAAATTCATGTTTTTTTCACCATCAGCTGTTTTTTTGTGCACACAGACACTCCTCTGCTGTGATCCTCTGAGGTTTTGAAGCAGGAATAATGTTTTGGCTGACAAGCTGTCATCAAGGTCATCTCCTTACATTCCACCCTGAAAAGCTTTGCCAGGACAAATAAACAAGTCTGGAACACGATCTCTCCGCCTGCGTGCCGTTCTGTGACCAATCCTGCACGTCCTCTCTGGACTTCTTGGTGCCCTCTTTGAAGTGCTGTCAATCAAATATATTTTCAACACCGATAGACGTCGGTGAGGATGCACAAGAGTTTTAAAGAGGAGAGAGTTCTGGTGGGAGGGTCAGTGGTGAGATCAGGGGTCATTCTCCTTTGATTCTGTGCAAAATCTCGTGATCACATGACAGGGAAAGCGTCATCCTGCCAAATTGGATTTGAGAGAAGAGGGTCTCTCTGCAGATAATCAACCATTTTCTCTCCATGCAGGACAAATTAGGGAGGAAATAGCTACTATTATCCTGGTACAACCAGTGACTATTTAGATATCGGTGCTATTTTCCCACAATTATAGTAACCATGCCTCTTATGCCTCCTGTTTTTACAGGAAATTACTTTTTATAAAAATAGAAACTTAGTCACTCTAACAGATTATTTCAAGGCCAACTTTACTCTTATTTTAATACATTTGCAGTGGTCTTTTGTAGGAATCAATGCCATGTGCGTCGTTCTATGGGGAAAAAAAGCTCCAGTGTGCCCGATTGTGGACATAAGAGTCGGCTGGATGGGAAAGGCGCTTCGTACGGCAGAATTTGGAGTCTTATTCTGTGATTTTTGGAGATCTGGCCTCTTAATGGCTAATAACAGTGCGACTCTGTTTGCTTTCCAACACTGATGTTTTATCTCCACAAATAACACAAGCCTAAAGGAGCTCTACTGTATTGTAGAGTTGCTAATGCTAACGGTTAGCTCATACTAGACGTTCTCTGCGCTTTCCTGGATGCTAAACCAACAGCAGCCTTGCCTGTCACAAGTCAAAATGGGTGAAACCATGAATGTTAAACGTGGAAAACCAAAGCGACATCTAGTGTGTGGAGGTATCTAGTGACTGGAGGTATCTAGTGTGTGGAGGTATCTAGTGTGTGGAGGTATCTAGTGTGTGGAGGTATCTAGTGACTGGAGGTATCTAGTGTGTGGAGGTATCTAGTGTGTGGAGGTATCTAGTGTGTGGAGGTTGTAGTTGCAACAATAGGACAAGGCTTCCAGCAGTCCGGATACCAGGTTCGCTGCCGATACGTGACAGTTTTTCTTTGGTTTCCATCTGTTGTTGGCTTCACCTAAACTTACTTTAGATCTTTTATGGTGGCTCCTCTTCTCAGAAGGATATCAACATCTCCTGGACTTGACTTGCCGAGTCAACCATTTTCCACAGGGCCAGCCTCACTGTGCCGAGCGGACTGTCTGACAACCTGCAATAGCGCCCTCTGTTGGCTGGTAGATCTAAACATAAACCCAGTGTCGTGCCCGGCAAAATAAATATTTGATTAGTTTTTAACCAAAATATAGATTTAAAGGAAATACTGTACCTTCATTCTAAATGCCCAGTGAAGGCAATATTTTTTAAAAATATTAGCTTTTTAATAAATTGCAAAGCTTCCAGAACATGTGAAGCTCAGTAGTTCGGATTAGACCAGACAGGAAGTCAAACACTGGCGTATTGTAAAACATCAACAAATTTAAAAATAAAAGACGGGCAGATTACCGGTTGCCCAACTACTAAGAAAAAAAAACATCATTACCTGTGACAGGCCCAAAGCTGAGGTAAACAACAGAAAATCAACTGCAAACCTTTTTGGATACATGCTGCCATCTTTCTCATTGCTTATTATCAAATAAACTGGCCAAATCATGCGTGATCTTGCAATTGTCCTGTGATTTTGGGACCTTGCAGGATCAACTGCATAGAATGCATTTAAAGTTAAAGTTCCAATAATTCATCACACACGGGTGAATTTCATCTCCGCATTTGACCCATCCCCGTGGGGAGCGGTGAGCTACAGCAGTGGCTGCGCTCGGGAACAATTTGGTGATCTAACCCCCCAATCCAACCCCTTAAAGCAGAGTGTCAAGCAGGGAGGCATTGGGTCCCATTGTTGAGGTCTTTGGTGTGATCTGACCAGGATTTGAACCCCAATCACTCTACCACTAGGCCACTGAGAATGTGCTGCGTTTTAATGTCAGAAATGCCCTCAGTGGGAAGGGATGCAGCGCTGAGCTTCCGGGTAGAATGCGTTTAATACATTTTGCAAATTTAGGCAAGGAAAAGTCAAGTTACAACCCACAGCAGGGGGTGGGGGTGGGGGGTGGGGGGGGCACGGGGCCTTGCCTGGACTCCTCCTAGAACCACTCCTGCATTTTTTGAAATTCAAGTGACAAAATTCACATTTAGTAAGCAGATTTTGGAAGGAAATCAAAGCAGTTTTTTTTTATATTTGTGACAAACTCATTTCGGAGGCTGACGGAGCGAGACAGACACATGGAATCTCCCTCATCTCCCGGTCTCCTCAGACCATAAACATCAGCTGTCCAGAGGTGACCAGATCAGCACTATGTTGCTCAATATCTTAGGAAAGAAACAGAGAGCCTGAGCAGCATGTTGTTAGAGCACTCCCTACATCAGGGTAAGTGAAGTTTACGGTAAAACAGCGGTTATTATTCCCAGGCCGGGCGTGACTCATTGCTGCAAGGACAATAAATCTGCACAAATAAGCCACATTTTGCACAACGTGCATGCTTGCGCTAATTGATCTGATAAGTCTTTACCTGCAGGGCAGATTTTAACCTGTTGCATCCTGTTCGAGTGTCACTAAAGCCAAAACATTTCAAAAATGTCCTGCATATAACTGACAGATGGAGGAAGAGAATTCTTCTGTCGCTCTAACTTGGAAAACTCGTGCTACGAGTGTTCTGGTTTGATTTTTCAGGGAAGTTTAAATGTCGACACTGCATCTCTTCAGTTTGTGTTCAGGAAAAGAAATGAAAAGCATGACAGCTTCACAAGTTCCAGCATGTTAATGGGTGGTTTAAGGGGAGCAGTTATGACTCAGAATACTTTTAGGAAAAGCTGCAAGAAAATCACAACACGCTTGGAAAAATAGACACACGCTGTTGCCCGATCATGTTTATAGATGCTCAGATAACACTAAAACTGAACTTACACACACACACTTGCATGAGACAAATCAGTGCATTTAATCTTTTTGCTTTTGAAAGTCTCAGTGTGACTTAGCATGGAGCTGAAAGCTGGGCGTGTCGCACCAATTCTAACAGATTTGAGTTTCCTTTGCTGCAGGGCTTTCCTTAAAACATTCTTGAGGGTTTAAACTATGAATAAGGAGCTAAAGTGAAGATATTTAAGCTGTCTTTTAGCTAGAGAAAAGCCTTCTGGTGGAGTGCAGAAAAGGAGAAGTCTAATAAACCTTGCAAGATTATTCTCTGTTTATGTTTATGTATTTGGCAGACGCTTTTATCCAAAGCGACATACAATTTATTTAACTTGTAGGGCATGTTGTGATCTGTAGGGGACACTGGAGTACCCGGAGGAAACCCATGCATGCATGGGGAGAACACGCAACTCCACGCAGAAAGGCCACAGCCGAGTTTCGAGCCTGCAACCTTCCTGCTGCGAGGCAACAGTGCTAACTGCGCCACCATGCAGCCCCTTTTAAACTCTGCAGCTTCACAAAAGTGACACTAAAGTTGCATCACAAGCTTTAAAAATTATTTTTAAGTGTCTTGCATAACTTGGTTTATGTACTCTTCGGCACGTGCACATTAAAAAGTCTCATTCTTACCTCGCTGATTCCTCTAGTCCCATTAACGGCGCACAGCTGCGAGTGTGCATAAAAGAGATGAAACATTATGTACATGATCTTGTTTCACTGTAGTTTCAGCTGAGTACATGACAGGGTTAGTGGTGCCTGGCCTCCATAAACACTCATAAGCTGCCAGCCCTGACTCGCTGCGCCACACAGCAACGCTAGCTGATGTTTCTAGGTCAATGTGGAAATCGGTGTGTTCCCCTCACGGAATTTCCACCAAGTTTCTGAAGACCTCACAACACCTTCGCTCACTTCATCAGCAAAAAGAAGTCACCAAGTGGCACAGTAACATGTGTTTGGTCTTGACTTTAAATAAAGTTTCACGTAAACAAAGAAGATCTTTGCCTCGCCACACCTTAAAGACTTTATGAGTCAATGTCAACAGACTTTTGAACCATAAATCTGTAATCTGTCAGTGAGGTGGAACAGCTGATTGATGCCCTCCAGGTTATCTCACGTGTAGTTTCGTTTCACTTTATTTATCAAATAAGGACAATAAACATATATTATCTTGTCTCGTCTTCTTCCACCCATCCGGGTCGCGGGGGCAGCATCCCAGCTAGGGAGTTCCAGACCGTCCTCTCCCCGGCCACCTCCATCAGCTCCTCCGGGAGGACCCCAAGGCCAGTTCAGAGATCATATGTTATATTGATCCTAAACATGATTACTGAGGCCATGTGGGGCCCAAGTCTCCTCCCCTTCTGGTCGGCTCATAGATCTCTCAAACGTAAAAAAAGTGAACAAAGCGATAAAAGCTAATTCTGGTCCGCTTTGCCTACATATGTTGTACTTTCATTTAAATTATAAATAATTATGTGTTTTGATTATGTCTGTCATGTTATTTGAGGTTTATTAGCTGGTAGAAATTCATAATTAAAATGACAAAAATATTTGATTTCGCACATATGAAATCACAGCAGAATCTCTTCTCCCCCAATGTTCCTGCCACTTTTCACAAGGCCAGGGTTGGTATTACGGGGGGGCTAAGGGGAGCCCAGCTCCCCCAAAAGCCCTCCACTGATACATCATTGGGGACCCCAAAAAGACATCCAGTTACAATTTATGTTACATTGTTCACATGGACTCTCAGGTACCCGGAGGTCTTCCAAGCGCCCCGTGTGTACTGGCACTTTCCGACCATTAATCCATAAATGAGGCGAAATCAGCTGGCTTCGCAGTCCCGTGCTCCCCACACCCCACCCAACCCCCACACACTGCGACGGCGATTAATTTGACACCTGGCGTGCAGGTGGAATAGAAAACCCTGAAGGGATCATTATGACTTTCATCAATTTAACAAATGC